ATTTTATCACAAAAAATTTAACTTTATCTTTTTTTTTTTTTAAGGATGATATAACTAAATATATAAGTTGTCCATGAATTTTTAATTTAGAGAAAAAATCAAAATAAAATAGTTATTTTGAGTAGAGGGAGTAGTGTCTATCAACTAGACATATAAAAAAATTAAATGAAAAAACGCTCAAAATTACATTATTTTAATAAATTACCATGAGAATACTAAAATAGCCTCATTTGTGCTTTAAAAAGTAAGATATTTTAATTTTTTAATGAAACTTTATTAAAATTATTTTTTCACCTAATTTTTTTAATATACAACTGATAAATATTTTTTTCATAAATATAATCTAACAAAAAATAATTGATCCCTTTTTGATTTCCAAAATTTGCGAAGAAGAAAACATCCATTAGACTTAAAATACCGGCTAAATTCAACGTTGAGCCTCTCACCTTACAAAATTGGTAGGTTTTAGCCCCAACTTTATAATATGACACTTTTAACCCTTTATTTTACAAAGTTGATAGGTTTTAACCTCTCACCTTACAAAATTGGTAGGTTTTAGCCCCTCACCTTATATTATGACACTTTTAACCCCTTATCTGTACGAATTGAAGAAAATAACCCTTAATTAATATCAAGTTTTAACGTTTTATTAATTCTGTTAACTGACTGTCAATTCTGTTCGCTGACTGTAAGTTTTATTAACTGAATATTAGTTTTGTTAGTTGACTGTTAGCATCCGTTGGTATTCCATTAATGAAACTAACAAATAAAATTAAATTTAAATTTCATATTTTTTATAACGGAATGCTAACAGATGTTAACAGTCAACTAACAGAACTAACAGAACGTTATAACTTGATGTTAGGTGAGGGTTATTTTCTTTAATTTGTATCGGTGATGGACTAAAAATATTATAATATAAGGCAAATGGTTAAAACTAACCAATTTTGTAAGGTGAGGGGCTAAAACTTATCAACTTGGAAAGATAAAGGGCTAAACTGTCATGTTATAAGATGAGGGGTTAAAAACTACCAATTTAATATATTAGTCAACACTTACCGGTTTGGTTATTAAAATATGTAATTTTAATTTTTTTTACATTTAATTCAAATTTAAAAATAATAATTTCTAAATGAATTTACTATGAAGTGTATTGAATTAGAAGACATTTATATTAATCATTATTTTATTACTAAATGAAAATTTCAAGAATTACATATAAAGTATATTTAGGTAGTGATAAAATCAAATTCAATATTGACTTGATCCGATTTTAATCCGAATCAATTGGATGTAGGTAATTTTAATTTGGGTCATATTAGTTTCTAACGGAGCTAGGGGCCTGATGGGGGTTGAAGAGGGCAGGCCCCCCCCCTCCCCAAAGCTTTTGAAAAATAAGAATTTTGGTCCTTAAATATTATTTTTATTATATTTTATCCTAAATAGTTTAATTATCATTTAAGTTATTTTTTATCATTGAAGATTACTTTCAAATCATAATGAGAAAATTAAGGAAAGCATAGGTAATATGAAAGACAAAAAATATTTAATATTGTCTTTTCACAAAATATTTATTATTAACCTTTTTTTTTTCATTTTTTAGTAGTGTTTTTTTACTCGTTATGTATGTTTATTTTGTCCTTCATTTGATGGCTTTTATATCACTTCATCAATGGCTATTAATTTACTGTTAAAGACTAATAAATTTGGTTTATAATATTTTTTTAAAAAAAATTATTGACTTTTCAATTTATACATAAGTTTTATTTGAGAACGCTTCTCAATACTTTAACTTTTAATTTGATATCTCTTTACTATTTTAAAAATATATAAAATGTTAATTAAATGAATATTAAATATATTAAATATATATATAGATTTTAAAAGACAAAAAAAATTTATAACTATAGCTATAACCTAACACGGTTAAACTAAACCACTAACACAGTATTTTCAAGTCAATATTTGTCATTACCCCTCTTAAAAAAACTACTTTTGGCGACATTTGCGGGTTAATAATTTGGACCCGGGGAAATGCTTTCTTAAAGGATAAAAGGAAGTGCTTTGTTGAAGGAAAAAAGAAGTGCTTGCATTTCCTTATAACCCTGAAATGCATTGACTTGGCCGCTTAAATTAACGTAGAATTATAAGTTTACGTTGCTGAATTAAATGAATAAATTCTGCAGAAACAAAGTGCTTTCTTTTGGTTGGCAGTGCGCCAAGAGATTATCATATCTCCATCAAGGATGCCGGAGATGTGAAGAAAATGTGGCCCTGGTCTGCTAGCTGGAACTTGCAAGGGGGAGTTTTTCTCCATATATAGATATATAGAAGATGCTGATGATGTTGAAGAAGCGGAGATTGCGGATTGACTTGACTGCGGACATCTATTGACTTGGACTTCAAAGGATATTCTGCAGAAACAAAGCGCTTGCTTTTGGTTGGCAGTGCGGCAAGGGTCCAGCATATATCCCCATCGACAAGGATGCAGCTGATGGGAAGAAAATTTGGCCCTCGTCTCTGTTGCAACTTGCAAGGGTGAGTTTTCCTCTCTCCCTCTCTCTCTCTCTCTCTTTTTTTTTTTTTTTTTTTTTTTC